CTGTGGTAACAGGTTATAAACAGAAGTTTGTGCTCACCTATATTCCTATTCAATTTACAATTGACATTCCTCCTATCCAGGCATTCTTAACCTTTGGCCCATGACATCTACCCACCCAGGCCTGTATGGATAAAACTCAGGGGGTTCTAAATTACATCTTTTTATCTACTAACCTTTCATCTAAATTGAATATTTGCTTTATTTATGAATGTTTATGTAGTTTATTATGAATAAACTACAGTGGCAGTAGCAGTGCTGATGCCTTTGTCATCAATAGAAATCACAGACACTTTCAACTCTTGTTACAGATGTTGCTGATCTTCTGAAAAAAATCACTTACCAATCACCAGTTAGAAATGATGGTGACAAATCTAATTATTTAATGTGTTAAAAGTGAAGCATAGGTTTTATTGTTTTGCATTTTGGAATTATTCTAATACCTATGAAGTATAACTGGTTATTTTATGTGTCTATGTATTTTAACTCATGCCTTTTAACTTCTTATTCTGAAAAGACTTTTCCCTTTATGTATTTGAAATAATTGTTCTGAGATGAAATTTGTCCCTGGGCTTCCCTGGCCCCGACTCAGCCAGCGTCAGTGGTGACTCAGGCTTGGGACACAGGCTCTGCCACATTGGGCTATGTGACCTGGGACAAAGAACTGCACCTCTGTTTCAACATCTGTCTGATGCTGTCTGATTCTGTGGCATCTGGAGTATTTTTGAAGCTCTTAAAGTACTCTGAATCAGGATTTGCAGCGATCAATACTTGCAACAGGAAAAACACTAAATGCCATTTTCCTTTGATTTAATAAATACTTTACTAATTTTCCAGTGACGTCTACTTTGAGTTTTTCCAGCTTGTTGAATCACTGATTTTTATTTCCCAATGTGGAGAAGGAGAGTAACATACTTGAGGATAAATCAACAAGTAATTATTAAGCACCTCCTAGAATGGCAAGGCTGCGTTTCAGAAGCCTGCCTTCTCTCCTCCCTGTTTCTGCTTCTCACAATAGGATGGAGCTGTCTCAGAAGAGAACACCAGTTAGTTTATCCTGGCTAATCTTTTCTTCCCAGCTTGAAAATGACCCTCCCATGGGACTAGTGAATAAGCCAAAGCCTCTTTTGACAAGAGAAGCTTAAAAGTAACTTTACTCCTACAGTCCTGGCTGCAAAGCAGCCTGTTTTAATGTGAGCAAAACTGGATAGTCTTAAAAATTCCCTTGATTTAGGTTCACACTTTCATATTTTAAATATAGTTGGATACAGGTCCGACAATGCTCATTGTAGATACAAAGGCCAGGTTAGACCCCGGTTCGATTCCTGGGTCAGAAAGATCCACTGGAGAAGGGATAGGCTACCCACTCCAGTATTCTTGGGCTTCCCTGGCGACTTAGCTGGTAAAGGATCTACCTGCAATGTGAAAGACCTGAGTTCGATCCCTGGGTTGGGAAGATCCCTTGGAGAAGGGATAGGCTATCCACTCCAGTATTCCGGCCCGGAGAATTCCATGGACTGTATAGTCCATGGGGTCACAAAGAGCCAGACATGACTGAGTGACTCTCACTTTAGTAGATAAAAGGCAAAGGCAGGGCATCATGGCGTTTCAGCACAGAAAGAGGCCTTGGGTATGACCCCCTTCAGATTGGAAGTCCCCTGGATTGCCTGAGTTAGGTGCTATTTCTCTGCTCCTACAGACCCTGGGCTTCCCATCTATGTCATAGGGCAGAGGTTCCTCAGTGTCCAGCAGCCAGTAGAGTGTCTGGCGCACAGGGTCAGTAATTGTTGATAGTAAAGTCTGGAGTACATGTGACTGTACTGAATCATGGATCCAACCGGGGTGTCTCTACGGAGATAGAGGAAGTAAACCTAAGTGGCTGATGGAGAAAGTGAAAGGGGGTCTGAGGTCAGCCAGGGAGCTTGAGCTGCCATGATTCTGCTTGCCACTGGCTTCTCAGCACAGCACTGGCCTCTCCTACCCAGGCAGAAGCAGGACAGCCAGCAAGAACCTGCATGGGAAACGTCCTGGGGGCATGTGTCCTTCTAGCTGATACTTGACGTGATGTTGATAGTTTGTCGTTCTTAATCCCCTAAATACTGCTTCCTTCTTAAACATAGTTTTGCTAGGTCTCAGAGCTCCTCTTTGGAGAGTAAGGCAATGTTCTTAGCATTAGCCACACAGGGAGATCATGTGAGGGGTGCACTGTTGATACCTCACTTCAGGAAGAAACTTGCAGTTCAGCTGCAAGGAGTGTAGTTAGCTGACAGCCATCAGTAGCAGTGCTGACGGGACTCAGGACTGGGCCTCCGTTCTTCAGGTAGCCCCCAGCCTATGAGTGAGCGTGGCAGCGTTGCCAGGACCTGGCAATTCTTGCCCGATAGAGTCTCTTTTACAAACTTTTTGCCCCAGAGCTCCCTGTTGGGTTGGCTTCCACTTTTCCAGCTCTGTATTACAGCCTGAGGCTCTTCTGACCAGTCCTGAAGCCTCCCTGCTTTGATTTTGCAAGTGTCAGATGTGCACTGCAGTCTGAAGACAGTCTTGGTCCAAGTCTTTCTTTTCTTTTTTCATCTTTCACAGGCCTTAACTCCCAATAAACTGCTAGTTGTACATCCTGCTCCAGCTTGACATCTGCTTCCTGGAGGACCAAGCTGATCCACCTGAGGAGTTTTAAAAAATACCAATGCCCCCAGAAACTTTTATTAAATTGGTCTGGGGTGCAGCCTAGGTGAATCCAATAAGCAGCCCAAGTCAAGGGCCACTGGAATAGAAGAAAAGTTCTGGGCAGAAGTTCCAAGTGTTTATTAAGTTAGAAAAGGATCTGCTTTCTCACAAGTCACTAGGGCTTCAACAAATCACTTCTTTAGGTCCTTTTCAAATAAAATGGGCCCGCCCTTTCATACCATAGGTGCCAATTGGTAACCCTCCAACTCCTTCCTGCAATGGTGGGCCATTAACACAAACAACAGTTATGGAAGGAAGCTGGCATTTTGAGAGGCACCTGCCAACTTCCTGATATTCCATATGTTGCTTGTCTGTAACCCATGTCAGATACTCAGTGTTCACCTACAGACTCATATCCTTGTGTGTGCATGCGTGCGTGCTCAGTCAGTCATTTCCGATTCTTTGTGATGCTACGGACTACAGCCCACCAGGCTCTTCTGTCCATGGGATTCTCCAGACAAGAATACTGGAGTGGATTGCCATCCCCTCCTCCAGGGGATCTTTCCGACCCAGAGTCAAATCTGAGTTTCCTACATCTCTTGCATTGCGGGCAGATTTCTTTACCAATGAGCCACTGGGGAAGCCCCTCATATCCTCAGAAAAGCCCAAATAAAAGTAGAAGAAAGGTAGAATTTAGGGAAAAGTTCAGCAGCGTTGACCTGATCATTTTGGTATTGACATGATCCTTTGACACTTTTCTCTAGTCAGCAAGTGTCTCTCTAGATTTGGCCCTTGGTGTGTGGAACCTTGTCCTGTGATTCTTAAGTATTTCTTCTGTATGTGCCACCTTCTCCATCAGGCCATCCAATAAGCTCCTTGAGCACAAGTATCCCATCCAGCCAAGTCCACAAACCCAGCTAGCAGAGCAGGCCTAGCGCAAAGCAGGTCTACAGGAAGGTTTAAAATAAAGGAACAAAGGTAGCAAGAGCCGAGAGGTTGTATAACCGGACTTGTTATAGAAAAACAAGATATTACCTTCACCCCAATACTCACAACTCAGTATTTCACAAGTCATTTTTATTTATAAACGTTTTTGTTGTATTTATTCCTCAACACTTTTATAGCCATTACTGTTGTGTCAGGCACTGTTGAAAGTGATTTACAAATATTAAACTTATTTAATTCTCCTAATAGCCTTTGTCTACCTGCAGGAGTTCAGCAAGGGAAGGATATGGGAGGCTCTGGGATGGCCTGCAAGGGTTTGTAGGAATGGAAAAGAGGATTTAATCTGCTCTTTAAAGATTGTATAGAAATAGGCAAGAAGACAGTGAGGAAGGAACTCATGGGACAGATAGGTATGGGATTGAGAATATTTACTACTCTTTGGGTCGGGGGTGGTGGTGTGGGGAACAGGCAGGGACCCTCTGCCCAGGTTGCTGAGACTGGGGCAGGTGGCAAACCGATAGCTATGAGCCAAGGGCACCAAACATCTGGTGCTGGGTTTTGGCCTATTTCCTGATGTGCCATAAACATTCCCATTGATATATGTTAATCCAAGCCACCTGAACAAAGGGGCCCGTGCCTCTCGGAGGACCAAATGGCACCATTAGGATTGGCAATACGTGATAATAGTCAGCTCGCCTACGGCTGGAAAGATCATCCAAATTCAACCTTGGGGAGCCTGGCTATCTCCTGCAGCACCCATGTCAAATTGTTGCCCCTCACCTACTCCTTTTCTTTGCTTGTCATGCTAAATAACCCCACTGCTATTCTTCATACAACTGAGCTTCAAGATTCTTTATCACCCTGTTCATCCCCTCTAACTGTGCTCTGGCCTAGACATTTTAGCTCTTACACAGTGCGCCCAATCCTGCAGATAAAGTTGACCAGCCAAGAGAGTAGTGCTGTCACCTTCTTCATTCCAGATGTCATGTTGTAAATGAAACCTAGGATCACAGCCCCCTCCCCCCTTTTAAAGAGTCTAAATTCAACTCCCTATTAACAAATATGTTTTATTCACATGTGTACTCAGTCCTACACTGTGCCTGATTCTGAACACTTAGGAAGAGTTGGTTATAAAAGAAGTAATGGGAGTCTTAGCATAAAACCACCCTTTTACCTGGAGGCTGCGAAACAACCAGGGCGAGAAAAGCTGACAGGAGGTGTTCTCACCCTGCCCTTTCTTCTGCCACATTTTCTTCTCTTGTCACAGGAAGACCCACAACACCTGGAAATGAGGCAGCACATCCCCTAAGATCTGGGTGGAGAAGATGAACAACTTAAGCTCCTGGCAGGACGTGGGCTACCCAGCAGGCCTCTGACAAGGTGCTGGCCCCCAGGGCCCTATCTCTTTCCTGTCTCAGGAACTCCAACATGACCAGAAAGATCTTCACGAACACCAGGGAGCGGTGGAGGCAGCAGAATGTCAACAGTGCCTTTGCCAAGCTGAGGAAGCTCATCCCCACTCACCCTCCGGACAAGAAGCTGAGCAAAAATGAAACACTTCGCCTGGCCATGAGGTATATCAACTTCCTGGTGAAGGTCTTGGGAGAGCAGAGCCTACAGCAAACAGGAGTGGCCGCTCCAGGAAACATTCTGGGCCTCTTCCCCCAAGGACCCCACCTGCCAGACAGGACTCTTCTTGGTGACTACCAGGTTCCATCACCCGGCTCAAGCCACCACATTCCATAATAGTGGGGCTCTGGCTGTTGTGACCCCAGGCAACACTGGTTCAGAAGTCACTAGCTGTCAACAGCCTTTTTGCAAGTACCAGAGTCAGCATGGTGAATAATTTGTGAGGCATGAATTCAAGTTTCATAGGAGGTGTCTCAGGGTCAGCTGCAGAATGCTCAAAGGAGGCCAAAAGGGAGGTGGCCGTACATCCCCTTCCCTTGGGGCTTCAGGCAGAGCAGCCTGTACCTGTCGATTTTATAAATCCAGGTTCCTGCATAAGATGTTGTTTTTGGGGAAAAAAGGCCCTTACGTTAAAAACTGGTTTGAAAATCACTGTTTTACGTAATATGTTTTCAGTTGTAAGAAGAGTTTCCTCATAATGGATCGCAGATGGACGAGTAGAAAATGCTACCCTCCGAACATATTTTAAAGTTCATTCTGAAAAATGAGGCATATTTGATCAAGGGTGAACAGCATAAGACAAATGAAAAGATAGCCCTTGCAGAAACCAGCCTGGAGACTTGTGGGGAAATCTGTGGATAAAAGACCCTTCTGACACAAGAGGACCACAAGAAGGCAGCAGATACGTGCAGGAGAGCTCTGCATCCTCTATCTCTATGGAAATGTGAGGTGTCACTTGCATTGGACCACGAGTATATGTGTTATCGCTAAAGACAAATGGTGGATTATACCTATGAGAGGAAAGGACGTGATAATTTGTGAGAGTTCATGGTTTTCTTATGAAAAGCAGTTAACTAAAATAGTTTTCCTAATCCTTTAGTTTCACATGTCAGGTATTGAAAACTTTTAATTCAGCATTAGTTCCTGATGATTTAAGACCTGTAAAATTCAAATAGAATGATGGAAACCTAAATATTACCATTCAACAGCTCATTTAACAGAGAGCTTAACAAAAGGTTCAGAGTAGACAATCGGAGTGTAACACCAGACTCGAATGAATGATGGGTGAGTGACTTGTCTTCCCTGCTGGGGAGCATTAGCTCAGTCTTAACACTGGGAAGGGCGGTGCCCACAAAAGGATGAACGGCGTGGATCTGGCAGAACTCACAACTGTATGCCACCGTGATGATGCTTGGATTCAAAAATGAATCCCATAGTTAAGCGCAGAATACAAATAATGTCATTTGATTGACTCTGGAACATTTTACTTCCCAAAGTTCTTGACAGAACATTAGTTTTAAAACCTTCTGAACTACAGGAAGGAAATTGATAGGCTTGAGATTATGTATACGCAATAGAGGAATTGAAATTTTCTGCCACTCTAGAAAGAAGATATTCAATTTATGAAAGGCTGAAATGAGCCTCTTTGGTTTGGTGATCAGAAGAAATCTGGATGAGGCATTCTCAAAATAGCGAGTTCATAATGTCATTAAACTCGCCACAGCATTCACACGTATGGCACAATACATTTATCAAGACAATGCATTTGGGACTTCCCTGGTGGTAGTTAAGACTCTGCACTTCCAATGCAGGGGGCGTGGGATTCCTGGTCAGGGTACTAAGATTCCACATGCCGTGTTAGTTAGTTAATTCAGTCACTCAGTCATGTCTGACTGTTTGTGACCCCATGGACTGCAGCATGCCAGGCTTCCCTGTCCATCAGTAACTCCCGTAGCTTACTCAAACTCATGTCCATCAAGTCGGTGATGCCATCCAACCATCTCATCCTCTGTCATCCCCTTCTCCTCCTGCCCTCAATCTTTCCCAGCATCAGAGTCTTTTCCATTGAGTCAGTTCTTCACATCAGGTGGATTGGAGCATCAAAGTATTGGAGCTTTAGCTTCAGCATCAGTCCTTCCAATGAATATTCAGGACTGATTTCCTTTAGGATTGACTTTTGGATCTCCTTGAAGTCCAAGGGACTCTTCAAGAGTCTTCTCCATCATCACAGTTCAAAAGCATCAGTTCTTCAGTGCTCAGGTTTTTTTATAGCCCAACTCTCACATCCATACATGACTACTGGAAAAATCATAACTTTGACTAGACACACCTTTGTTGGCAAAGTAATGTCTCTTCTTTTTAATATGCTGTCTAAGTTGGTCGTAGCTTTTCTTCCAAGGAGCAAGCATCTTTTAGTTTCATGGCTGCAGTCACCATCTGCAGTGGTTTTGGAGCCCAAGAAAATGAAAAAAACAAAAAACATGCTGTGTAGCATGGCCAAAAAAATAAAAATAAATAACAAGAATAATAAAATAATTAAAAAAAAAAGAAACAATGCATTTTTGTGTGTAGGTCCTTTCTTTAAACTGCATTCAATAGACATCCCCACAGACCCAGAGTAGTACAGAGAAACACATAAACACAGAAACCAGGGGATTCCCCAAATTTGCATTTCTTTCTCATGAGCTTTTGTGTTCTCATGAGCTTATGTGGACTTAAATTCATCCCCAAACTACTACGTGGTAGCACATCTCAAAACTCTGGTGATGGTTGTCAATTGAGTAATATTGCTTATTCTCTCATCTGGCATTAAATCACATTAACACTTTTGACAGTCTTTTTGTATTGTGCTGTGCATCAGTCATATTTGACTCTTTACAACCCCATGGACCATAGCCCATCAGGTTTCTCTGTCCATGGGGTTTTCCCAGCAAAAATACTGGAATGGGTTGCTATGTCCTCCTCTGGGGGGTCTTCCCACCTCAGGGATTGAACCTGGGTCTGTCTCCTGCATTGCCAGTGGATTCTTTACCACTGAGCCACAAGTAGCCTCATTTTGAACTGTAGCTGAGGAAGGCAGAGAAGACCTCTTTGTGTGAACATAGGATTTTACTGCTCTTCTCAGAGTGAGTGCACTTCTCTGCTGTTGGGGCCTTGTCTGCTGTGCACAGGGGGCCTTTCCACTGAAATGTAACTGAGTGCCGCTGAAAAGTCATGAGGAGTTTGAGTATCATTCAATTAAATGAGGGGAACAGTTTTTTGAAGAAACTGCAGGAACTTCCTATGATAAGTGAATAAACATTTAATATATTACTTAATGTAATTCATCTCTTAAATTAGTTCTTTTGCAATTTGGGTCTTGGTCTGTCAAGTTGTATTAGGTTAAAGTGACTGTTAAAAGGAATTGTAGGTACCTGTGTACCAGAAGCTTGGCAAGGTACACATGAGACTGGAAGCTAATTCTAAACTCACTCCACAGCTTTCCTTGGTGTCCTGTATTTTCAGCTTGGTGACTGCAATAGTAAGAATTTATGGTTCAAGTGAATTATAGTTCACCCATGGAACATCTCTTTATGGATCATTTGAACCCAACAGAAAAATTTAGACCGATTATATCATCTATGCTTCTCTATTACTTGTTCTGCTATGGACACCGCTGAAAGCTTCTGGAAACCAAGAATAACAGGTCCATTTATTTATATAGATCGTTAGATTGGCTAGTTCTACTCCTCACTTTACAGAGGAGATAACAGTCCAGAGGGTTTTGAAGTAACTTTGTAGAGGTAACATGGACAGTTAGTGGAAACCCAGGACATAGTGTAAGATCTCCTGACCCAGCGTCCAGTCTATTCAGCCATGAAGGATTTTAGGATTGGAAATGGACAAGCATCTTATTATTAGGCTCATCTCTTAGCAATAATGTTCAGTGATCTTCTTCATATGCCTTTTAATTGAAATTGAATCAGTGTGCTTTGTAGAATGTGATTAGAGGTACCAACCAAAGATTTTATTTGTTGATGTTCTGTGAGTTTTTAATCATTGATTCTAATTTGCTATTTAACTATTAATTTATTGAAAATAAATTATTTAAGAAAAGAAATCATTATTATTATTTTTTCTTTTTAGAAAATATTTCACAAATTTACTAAGCACAGCCTCCATCTCTCCACCCTCACAATGACTGTTCTGGCTTTGAACCCCACTCCTTCTGTTGTCTCTAGTCTAATAAAAACATAGCATTCCCTGATCAGCCCCTCCTTTTCCTTCACTTTCACACAGCTTCCTAATTGTCTTTCTCAAACCACAACTACAGCCATCCCCAGCTATCAAACCTTCAGCGTCTCGTCCACCAGACTGAGACAGATACTGTGTCCCAGCAAACCAGGCCCTCTGTAGCCTGGCTCAGTGTACCCTTCCTTTCACCTTCCACAGTTGCCTGAATGTATCAGATGTGCTAAGGAAACTGCTTCACTTGATGGTCCCCAAACACTCTCCACTGTTTGATACCTCCAGCTTTACTCTTGTGAGTCTCTCTGCTTGCACTAAATTCCATTTTCTAAAATCCTTCAGGACTGATCTTAAATACCACTCCTTCAGGAAGCTTGACTCATCTTAAACACCATCTTACATGAAGTCCTCCTAGATTTCCACCACTCAATATAGTCTCTTCTTTTGTAGAATACTCTTATTGCTTTAAGACCCTTGCTTCCTCTTCCCTGCATTACAGACATCTTGTGTATATTCTGTCCCCAGCAACAAGATCTCCTTGAGGGCCGTGACAGTTTATAACACTGAATCCTCACAACAGCCCTGCCAGTGACTTTACTTTCAAAATGAGAAAACTAGGTCAAGACTGGCTCCATTAAGAATATTCCTCTAGCCTCTCTTAAAAGATAACATTGAAATGTAACTTGAAAGAATTCACCGGCAGTCCAGAGGTTAATACTCAGCTTTTCACTGAGTAATGGCCTGGGTTCCATTCCTGGTCGAAGAACTAAGATCCCACAAGCCTCACTGTGCAACCAAAAAAAGAAAAGAAAATGCAACTTTGCATCTTGAACAAGCTGAATTTCCCTGAGAAATACAAAGTCTAAAGCTCTTTTTAAAAGTTTGTTTCTCAAAATTTTCCTTTCAGCAGGCCTTTGCAGCACCTGCCTGATGAGGTTTCACCACCTAAGGATGGCTTGAGATGACCCAAACATATGTAAGTTATACACAACAGGCTTTGTCCTTAAGAGGCTAAAGGATGAAAGGAACCAGGAGAATGGACAGCTTAACTCCTGACCCACAGACCAAAGGTTAGCTGAAAGTCACATCCTTAAATAAAAAGGTCAAAGATAAGGAAGGAATCTAAGAGCCCAATGGCAATGCAAAGAGGGGATTTAAAGTGGCAGGTGCTAGGAAGGAATGCCAAGGGGCGAGTGTGGCTAAAGGATTATGGGAAGCCAGGGTGTGGCCTCCTAAACACAGTCTCCCTTCTGAGACTGTTAGAGCTTACTATAAACTGGGAAACTTTCTGTTCTATTTCCTCTTTGTTGCTAATGACCTATCGCTAGCATTAAAATCACTATGTTTAAAATTTTTTTCTAGATTTTAAAAAGCACTAGATTTTTACATAAACCTTAGGTTTGTAATCTATCAAATAACGTTTAAGAATTTAATTTCCAGAGCTCAAGGGGGTAGTTGAACAAGGCAAGCTGGAGAATTGCCTTGTCTGGATAATTTTAAAAATTAGGATTATCCAATATGTTCATACGCTTGAACCTAAGTAACTCTCCTTCTAGGAAGCTATCATGAAGAAGTAATCAGAATTATAGTCAAAGGATTATCTGTGTGGGTATCTATTTCAGAGTTATTTACAATGTAAATAAAAATAAAATAAATCTATAACAGTAAGAGTCAGAGCCAAGATTTGCTGAACATATTTGCCTACAATATGCGAGGCACTGTGACAAGAGCTTCTAGCATATCAGCTCACCTAATCTTCATAACAGTTTATATTGTTACTGTAATATCAATTATATGTTTTGTTCTTATTTCACAGATGACAAAACTGAAATTTAGGAGATGATGATTTTTTAAAGGATGAGTTTTTAAAGTTTTTATTTTATATTGGAGTTTAGTTGATTAATAATGTTGTATTAGCAATGGAATATTACTCGGCTATAAAAAGGAATGCATTTGGGTCGATTCTAATGAGGCTGGTGAACCTAGAGCCTACTATACAGAGTGGAGTAAATCAGAAAGAGAAAGACAAATATCGTATATTAGTGCATATATATGAATCTATAAAGATGGTACCGATGAGCCTACTTGCAGGGCAGCAAAGGAGATGCAGACATAAAGAACAGACCTTTAGTCATAGTGGGAGACGGGGAGGAGATGACTTGAGAGAATAGTACTGAAACATATACATTACCATATGTAAAATAGATAGCCAGTAGGAATTTGCTGTATGATGCAGGGAACCCAAAGCCAGTGCTATGACAACCTAGAGGGGTGGGATGGGGAGCGAGTTCTCAGAGGGAGGGGACATGTGTATGCCTGTGGCTGATTCATGTTGATATGTGGCAGAAACCAGCACAATATTGTAATTATCCTCTGATCAAAAATAAAATAAAAGTTAAATGATGTGTTAGTTTCAGGTGCACAACAAAGTGATTGTTATACATGTATCTATTCTTTTTCAAATTCTTTCCCCACTTAGGTTATTACAGATTATTGAGCAGAGTTCCTGTGCTTATACGGTAGATCCTTGTTGGTTATGTTTTTTTTTGGCTGCATCACATGATATGTGGACCTTCCCTGACCAGGGATCTTGTGCTCCTTTCATCGAAAGTGTGGAGTCTTAACCACTGGCCCACCAGGGAAGTCTTGGTTATCTATTTGAAACATAGCCGTTTGCATATGTCAATCCCGAATTCCCAATCTCCCCTCTCCCCAACCCTTCTCTCCTGGTAACCATAAATTAGTTCTCTAAGTCTGTGAGCCTGTTTCTGTTTTGTAAGTAAGTTCATTTGTATGATTTTTTTTTTTTAGGTTCCCCATATAAGCAATTTCACATGATATTTGGTCTTTCTCATCTGACTTACTTCACTTAGTATGATACCCTCCAAATCCATCTATGTTGCTGCAAATGGCATTATTTCATTCTTTTTAATGGCTGAGTAATATTCCATCATATATATATTATATATATATATAATATATATATTACCACATCTTTATTCATTCACCTGTGGATGACGTATAGATTGCTTCCATGTCTTGGCTATTTTATACAGTGCTGCAGTGAACACTGGGGTGCATGTATTGTTTCAAACCATGTTTTTCTCTGGGTGTGTGCCTAGGAGTGGGATTGCTGGATCTATGGTAGTTCTATTTTTAGTTTCTTAAACAACATCCATGATGTTCTCTATAGCGGTTGTACAAATTTACATTCCCACCAATAATGTAGGAGGGTTTTCTTTTCTCCACACCATCTAGCTTTTGTAGACTTTTCGATGATGGCCATTCTGACTGGTGTAAGTGATATCTCATTATAGTTTTGATTTGCATTTCTCTAATAATTAGCCATGTTAAGCATATTTTCATGTGTCTCTTGGCCATCTGTATGTCTTCT